TGAATTTCAGAGCTACCAGTACTTTAGATAAATTTATTTTAGTTCATTTTCCATAGTCTTGAACTCAGATTTTGTCAGACACAACAACATTATGAACTTAAGACTCTAGATTGGATGATGATAAATAGATTTAGGAAAGGCCCTAAAATCTGTTTTCTCTCTCTGGGTTAGGAATCGCTAGTCCTTGGCTTACTTTCATATCGAATGGTCCAGATTGAGTCTATTAGAGAAGAATAAAGAGAGCAGGATTAGGATGAAACCACATATGAGTAAGCAAGCAAGTTTTCTATAGTGCTATAAATGTGTTAAAAGGGATGCGGTGGTTCAGTGGCTAAGATACTGAGCTTGTCAAGCGAAAGGTCGGCAGTTCAACGGTTCAAATCAGTAGTGCCGCATAATGAGATGAGCTCCCGTTATTTGTCCCAGCTTCTGCCAATCTAGCAGTCCGAAAGCACATAAAAAATGCAAGTAGAAAAATAGGAACCACCTTTGGTGGGAAGGTAACAGTGTTCTGTGTGCCTTTGGCATTTAGTCATGCTGGCCATTTGATCATGGAGATGTCTTCGGACAGCGCTGGCTCTTCGGCTTTGAAACGGAGATAAGCACCGCCCCTTAGAGTTGGGAACGACTAGCACATATGTACGAGGGGAACCTTTACCTTTACCTTATAAATGTGTCAGTTCCATCTATCTATTTATTTATTTTTTATTTTTTATTTATTTATTTGTCAAACATGTACAAGATAGCAGGTATGGGTATAAACATAAACAAATAAGGAAATAAGGAAATAAGTACAGATAAATGAAGACGGTATGACAGGGATAGTAGGCACGCTGGTGCGCTTATGCACACCCCCTTTATGGACCTCTTAGGAATGGGGTGAGGTCCATGGTAGACAGTTTAAGGTTGAAGCTGTTAGAGTTTGAGGTTGTAACAACGGAGTCGGGTAGAGCATTCCAGGCACTGACCACTCTGTTGCTATCATCAGAACTCTTCCCACACCCCCACCCCGCCATAGATTAATGATCCTTCAAAGGAAACAGAAAGGATAAATGTGTTTCTACTTATTCTCTGTATCATTCTACACATACTAATCTATGTCTATAAAGCCACCTTACAATGGGCAAGTCGTTCAGTGCAATGGCAGCCTTTTAATCCCTTGTTTCAAAGCTTCCCCTTTTCTTAAGCAATTTTTCATTTTTTTTTCTTTTTCATTTCTTAACCTGTTTTAAAGGTGTTTCTAAAAGGCATTCTTCTAAAACAACTCTCTACATGCTGCCCTAAAATCAGCAGACTTTTGAGCAGGTTCTAAGTATCTACCACTTCCTTGCTGCCTCTAGAAATCCATTGATATCTTTTCTTGGAGGCACTGAACCTTCTCTTCAATCTCTCAGCATTGAGCATTCTCTATCTCAGCATGAAAGAGAAGGCACAATTCTGACCAGAGAGCAGAAGTTATTTTCCCTAGTGTCCTGAAGGTCTCAGAGGATGGAAGGATTCTGGAATTTCTCTAGTTCTATTGTTCAGGACAAAAATGCCTGCAAAGGAATTTTTTAAAGTAATGCAGATATGTCTTTCTTCTCTGTCCTGTACACCAGATGGCAGCCTTCTAAGGCTACATAGGTTTTTTTTTATATATATAAATGCAAAATAGTTACACACAACTCAGCTTTACATACCATTTGGTCTCCATTCTTTCTCCTTTAATTCTCTCTAATTCAAGCATCCCTAATACACCAAACCCTAATCAGCTACATTCCACTGCCTTCCATTTCCATAGAAAGTTCTTTGTATAACTTTTCAACTTTTATTAAAGAAAAGTTTCCAACTTACTGTGTACTTTGGTGAATGAAAACCTCCCCAAAGGCGATGTTAGCTTCCTTATATAAATTTAAGTTTGCTAAAATTCCCTCTGCAGAATCATCTGTGAATGCTGGGTATTTTGGCTTACTTTCTTTGGTTTTTGTTCTCTTTCCCTTCCATTCGCTCCTCCTCCTCCTCTTCCCCTCCACAATCTTATTCAGATACTATGAGATGTGATGAATGGGGTATTACACTGCAAATTTATTTTGGACAAAATCAAATTAGGCATACTGAAGGCATAAACAGCATAACATTTACCTAGGAAAGAGTAAGTTTATACTAGTCATATGTGCAAATTACTGTGCTCTGGATAAAGTCATTGTTTATAGTCTGCTATCACCCTTTCTGGTACTGAAAGCCTCTATTGATGATAGCAAAAACATAAACACTTAATTTCCTTTATTAAATCCTGTATTATCTAAGTATGCGTGAAGGTTTCCTTTCTTTCTTCTTCATTTTTTTTCCTCCTGCCATAACATTAATTACTAAGCTGCTGGGTGGCACATCTTTTTCATTTGGCTTTTCTACGCCTATGTGCACAGAGTTATGTCATTGTGTAATTTATTAGTGTTATCTGAGACACTCAATGCATCTAGTATGTATAAAAACTTGAAAATGGAAAGCTGAGCATGCCAGATACTGAGCTTTCATCAATTTAAGATGCTGGCAAGCTGACAGGGCCAAATTTTCCATTGTTTAGAATGACTATTACATTGATGTGATTGAATTTGCCATACTGTGTTTAAAGAAAATGTGGGCAAGGATAAAACTGTATTTAAACATCATGTTTTAAATAACTCAGTGCAGAGCTGCTGCCACTATGTATCTAGCACAAGGATGATGTCAGCTTTTATTAAACTGTGATTGGTCTTTCTCCGATCCATAACTTTATATACGTATATATAAATAGGTCTGGAGCTAGGTTGAGCTGTTTTAAAAACCTCAATCCAGTTTTATTTAAATAAATAAGATGACAAGTCCTTTAGTGTTTATGGTTTAGGACTAATATTGCAATCAAGTTCATCCAGGACTTCTGCAGTATATCAGAGTTGAATAGAAGGCCCTTGGCAATAAATTTACAGCTCCATTAAATTGGATATTTTTGGAAAGGAAAGCTGGTATAATAATAATTATGGTGATAATAATGATAGATAATTACATGCCATCAAGTCATTATCAACTTTAGCAACCTTACAGATAGGTTTCCTCCATGATGATCTGTCCCTAAGCTGTCCTTCAGGTCTTCTAACAGTGCACTCATCACTAGTAACTGAACCTATCAATCTTGCTGCCAGTCATCCTCTTCTTGTCTTCCATCTTTCTCAACATTAGAGCCTTCTCTAGAGAACTAGCCCTTCACATAACATGTCCAAAGTAGAGTGATTTGAGCTTGGCTATTTGTGCCTCAAGTGATATTTGTGCCTCTGAGTTGTTTTATTTGATGATCCATTTGTTTGTTTTCTTGGCTGCCCCCACTATTCTCAGGAGTGTTTTCCAACACCAAAGTTCAAAAGAGTCAATGTTATTCTTTTCTTGCTCCTTCAAAGTCCATTTTGTACCTCAATATAGTTTCACAGGGAATACATGGTTTGCATAATTCTGGTCTTTTTAAATATAGATATACCAGGACATTTTAATATCTTTTCCGAGAGATTCATGGCTGCTCTACCAAGTTCTTGTCTTTGGTATCTTTCCTGATTGCTTGTTCCTTTACTGTTAATGGCTATATGAAATGGCAGAAGCTATTCACTACTTCACCCATTTTTATAGTCAATTCTACAGCTGTTGTCATTTAGTTTGCTCTTTTCTATATTTAATTTTACTTCTTCTTCTTTTTTTTTTTTTACTGTGGCCCTGATTTTATTACTATAGCTTACAGCTTCTTTCTAGTTCATCTATCAGGGGAACATCAACAGTGTAGTAGAATTTATTGACATTTCTTACTCCAGTTTTAAAACCGCATTTATCTTCTTCCAATCTAGCTTTTTTAAATATGTATTCTGCATATAGGTTGAATAAATAAGGGGAGAGGATGCAGTCTTGATGGACTTCTTTGCCAACCTGGAGCCAACCTGTTTCACCATGTTCTTTCTGCACTGTGACTTCCTCACTTGTATAAGTTTCTTGTACAGACAATGAGATGTTCTGGGTTTCTCATTTTTCTGACCACTTGATGTCATTGACACAATCAAAGTTGTTTTTATAATCAATGAAGCACATTTTTTTTTTTTGGCATTCTTTGGATTTTTCAATTATCCAGTGTGCACCAGCAATAATGTTTCATCTTCCTTGGTTTTTTCCTAAAACCAGGTTAAATATCTGGCATCTCTTTTTCTATATGCTGATATAATCTACATTGGAAGATCCTAAATGTTATTTTGAAATTAAGGATATTGTAGTACAGATTGCACACTATGTTAATTCTTGTTGTTGTTGTTGTTGTTGTTGTTGTTCTTCTTCTTCTTCTTCTTCTTCTTCTTCTTCTTCTTCTTCTTCTTCTTCTTCTTCTTCTTCTTCTTCTTCTTCTTCTTCCTCTCCTTTTCCTTCTCCTTTCTTCTTCTTCCTCCTCCTCCTCCCTCTTCCTCTTTCCTCCTCCTCCTCTTCTTTTTCCTCTTCTTCTCCTTCTTCTCCTCCTCCTCCTTTCTTCTTCTTCCTCCTTCCTCCTCCTCCTCTCACTTGTTGTTTATTATATTTCAGTGAGTATTTCATCAGTTCCTGTAGACTTTTGACTTGATAATGACAAGAGTGCTGAACAAAATTCATCTTCTAGTAACTTGTGTTTACCTATTATTTTTGTTTATAAAAATATGGACAAAAAAACCACAAATGTGTTTTCAGGAACAACCTGAGGTTGTAGCTGTTCCACATTCTCAAAATACGTATCTAACATAATGATTTTTAAAATTCCCATTAATTTTGACTTTCTTGTACCAAACACAAGTAGCTAACTTATTGTGAGCTACTAGATTTTGTTAAGGGAAATGTAAAATAAAATCAAGAGAAGAACTGGTGGCAAAGGAATATAGTTGTCAATGATTTTCTTTTTTACAGTTATTAGAAATGTTTACAGTCAACTAATGCGTTTAAATATTTCAAGACTAAGTTTGAAATAAAATAGTGTACAAATGATGAACATGTAATTGCTAAAATGTACTTTTATTGATATTTGAAACAAAAAGAAGTTTGTTGTAATATTCAGATGGAACAAGGGGAAATCATATAGTTGAAACAATTAAAATTTACACTGTTATTATCTTGAAAATATTTTTTTATAAAATGATACACTGTTATATTTATGAGAGAAATTGTTTAGAATATATAAGGGCACTTCAAATTTATGTTGGAAAGTTGAACAAGCAGAAGGGTCATTTTATAATGTTTAGGGGACATGTGAAAAACCTAGAAAATTTTGGATTCATTACACACATTGATTTTAAAGATTAATATATAATTGAGACTAGAGGTTTTTCTTTTGGCATAGATGGACAAATAGTTTTAAAAAGTCATGGAACTTTGTTTTTGAATAAGATAACTGCAGCAAGATTATTTTATATGCAAAAATGGAAAGATTTGCCACTATCCACAATGGAGGAAAGGTTGGTAAAGATAATGAAACTTGCTGAGATGGCTAAGTTGATTTCTTAATCACAGAAAAGACAATATCTATGTTTATTGCTGATCGTTAACTCCTAGTGGATTTTTAGTGTAAAACAAAACATAAAAATAAAAATGAATTTATGGTGTTGATGATTAGACAGAATAGGTTATAGAAAAAAGAGAGTTCTGTTGTAAATATGTAATGTACATATGAGTACATATGAGTAATATGTAAATCTATAATTGTGCTTATAACTTCTATGAAAAAGATTGGAAGGTACTTCTTTCTTTCTTTCTTTCTTTCTTTCTTTCTTTCTTTCTTTCTTTCTCTTTCTTTCTCTTTCTTTCTCTGTTTTTCCCTTTCTTGTACTTTAGATTTCTTTCTGATTTCTTTCTTTTCTGTTTCTTTTTCTTTCTATTAATTTCTATTAAATTTTAATGTTCCTTTTTTAAAAAAAGTAATACTATTATATAAAAAAAATAACTTCATCTTCTAATCCTAGAGATCTTCTAAGCAGGGAATTCATCTTTTAAGTATTTTGTATATTAATATTTCTACTCTGCATTATTGCACTAATACCTTCCATCTTTGAATCAATTATTATCTACTATGTCCATTGGCATATCTTACCATACAGATTTGAAGTTGGACCCTCCTTTTGAGTTCAGACATTTTTGAAAGACTTTCCTTGTTTTTCCATGTCTGTTCCATATTTAAAATATTTACATGTTTTTGTAATAGTGCTTCTTATCTCTTCTAACAGCACTGAGAGGTTCTCATCTGAAATTTTTGTTTTTCTTGGCTTTGGCTTCTTTTCTTGAGAATTCTGTGGGGAGAGGGTTTCTGACATCAGTTTTGCTTTCTTCTCTTTCTTCATTTTTGAAGTCATTTTTTCCACATTCATTTTTAATAACATCTTTAAATTGATTCCATAATTCCTCTGGCTCTCTATCAATGAGGTTCCTGATGTTTTTCTTGATGCAATTCCACATTCAACTTTAATAACATCTTTAAGTTGATTCCATAATTCCTCTGGATCTATAATAAAGATGTTCCTAATGTTCTAGTTTGATGCAGTTCCTGACACTCTCTTTGAAAATGGTGTGTATATGTTCAAGATCATATTGTGGAAACGGACTTATTTCTTCTTAGCACAATGGGACCTGGTGAGATAATAATGTAATATCAATAACAATTCAGGCATGTTGACATCACAAATGTCTAACAAAAATAATTCACCCTTTGTTACTGGCAAATTGTTGATAGGGATTTTGTTTGTACATTAAACATCTTTTTTCTAATGTTATAAAGTATTCAGGCTTCAAGTTTAGGTTTCTTACTTCTCTATTAGTTTTCTAATAGTGTTAAAATCTTCAAAGATCCGAGCTGGGAATCCAGCTGGGACAACAACCCTTCCAACAAAGAAGGATTTACTTTCTTTGCTTCTGGCTTTCTTTTAGTGTATATATATATATACACTAAATATGTATATACACTATACACATACAAGCAAAATTCAGAAAACAGGAGAGTGGAAAACATCATTTCTATTTTATATATACTTTGTAAATATTTAATTCAAAATATTATACACATTCTGTTTGTTTATATATACTTCCAGAATGCATATAAAAACAGAGCAGGCATATTTACCTTGTGTCTTTAAGTCTTTCTTCTGTATCTCCCATTCAAGTGTTGCAGTCTGAGGAGTAACTTTCTAAATACAAGCAGGGGTGGTATTAACTTACCTTTGCTACAGGTTCGCAAATGTCAGCACGTGCATGCTCGCTACGCTCGCGCATGCCTCCTCCACACATGCGCAGAAGGCTCTGCGCAGAGGGTAAAAAATGGGATGTGATGATGTCCGGGTGGGTGGGCGGAGCCTCCCAGCACCAGTGCTACTGGATCATGTGATCCGCATAGAGCCGGTTGAATTTCACCACTGGATACAAGACTTAGATTTAGAGTACCTTTGTTATCACTTTGAACGTATGCTAATCGGCATGCTTTAAAATGAAATTTTGTTGCATACAGCTCTCAAAGGGTCACCACCTCCAATATACACTACAGAAATATCACTAAATAAATAAATAAATACAAAATTACGCATATAACCACAGAGATATATGGCACAGAGAAACAACACAGTCTAGTTCATATGTATACATGTACATGGCAAGAAAAATGAATCTTGTGAGTTTACCAGATGAATGGCATAGGGAACAAAGCTGTTACAGGATCTGGTAGTCCTGCTAGGAACACTTTGAAACCTCCTCCCACAGGGGAGCAACAGAAACAGATCATAAAGCAGGTGTGTGGAGTCTCTAACAATGCTTTGAACTCTAAGCACATAGTGCTTATAAGCAGTATCCTGAATAACAGGAAGTGAGTTTCCTATAATCTTCTCGGCTGTCCTTACCACTCTCTGTATGGACTTTCTATCTGAGGCACTGTTGCCACCAAACCAAATAGTGATGCAGTTTGATAAAATGCACTCAACTGTGCCTCTGAAAATAGTGGTCAGGACAGAAGGAGAAAGATGTGCTCTCCTCATCTGATGCAGGAAATGCAGTCACTGGTTTGCACGCTTCACTAAGGATAATGTGTGGAGAGACCAATTCAGATTGTTAGTTATCTGCACCCTCAGATACTTAATACTGTTGACTACCTCTACAGCTGCATCCTTGATACTGTGTGGAGTATGACTATGCTGGCTCTTTCTAAAATAACTGGATAGAGAAATTTTCCTTATAGTTATATTACCATTTCTCATTCAGTTTAATAAAATCATCTCATAGCTGAAAAATAATATCTAAATTAAATTTGTAGAGTTGACATATAAAGTAAATTCTGAATGCAAGCCAAAAATGCACCACCCATCATAAGATAATGTCTCCCATTGTTCTGTTGGGATAGAATACAATTTAGTGCAGCCTTCAAAAAGCTGTCATTACTTTAATTAATATGAGGAAGAATTCTATTTAAAAAAGCTAATAGATGCTTTCCAATTTTAATTAAAAGTGTTCTATGAATATATAGGCAATTTACAATGCTAACATCAGTTCTGTAGTATTTCACATTAGACCTTTATAATCTTCTTTTAGGCGTACATTTTAAAATAATATACAAGATGCAACTATACATTTAATACTGCTAGTCTTCTAGAAAACACTAATTTGCCAATGACCAGTTTGAGTTTGGCTTTATTTACTATCCTGACATTTTGATAGAAATTCTGAAAAGTCTGTACATGAGGAGAAATTTCCTGTCAGTGAGAACACTTAATCACTGGAATGGCTTCCCCCCAGAAGTTGTGGCTGCTTCATCACTGGAGATCTTTAAAAAGAGTTTGTACAGTCTAGAATGGTATAAGGTCTCCTGATTGAGCAGGGGGATTCCAAGATCCCTTCCAATTCTGTTAATCTGTTAATTTGGTATATTAAACATGGTTGACTTGAATCTAATGGGGAAACAACATACATAATAAACACCAGAACAATAGAGGAACTGGAAGTGTTTTCATGAATAGCTTAGAATGAAGCTAAAGGTAATTATAATTTTTTCATGGTTGGCAGAAGCATAGTGGTCTAATGGTGAAGGCACCAGGCTAGAAAGCAGGAGACCATGAATTCATGTCCCACCTTAATCATGAAAGCTAATTAGTGATTTGGGACTAGTCATTCCCTCTCAGGCCAACCCACCTTACAGGAAAGGGAGAGGAGGAAGGTGGTCTGGATATGTTCACTGCCTTGAATTATTTGTAAAAATAATAAAGGTGAGATATGAATGAAATATAAATAAATAAATAAATAAATAAAATGAGCATTTTTCTTTCTGAAATTTCACAATTCATTATGAAGCCAAAGTGAGACTATATACTGAGAGAAATGTAAATGTTGGAGCAATGTGGAAAGAGGAGGATAATGAAGATAGATTTACTGAACTATACTGCTCAAATGATATATTTAAAGGAACCAGTTTCAAGATTAAATTGCAAATCACCAGAATTTTTCTTCTCACCATCCTTTGTAGAACTATGTCATTAGATCTTTAAATTTATATCAATTTTTCAGTCTGTTGGACATGAAATTTCCAGACCTCAAGACTACCAGAATGATGAATATGTATAAAAATGTTTGAAAGTGGTTTAGTCTTTTTTTCCTCAGCTCACTTTAGATAGATAAGTAGGTAGATGTTAGATAAGTTAGATGATAGTTAGATGATAGATAGGTGATATATGATAGATAGATAGATAGATAACTCACACATATACAAGCTAAAATGTATGTAGCATATAGTCAACAGTAGGCTATGGGGATGCAAAGAATGTTTCAGTAGCATCTTTAAAGCATATGATCAAAACCCAAAGTTGCAAATGTCATTTGGTCACAAATGCTACCCAATATGGTACACTCACTAATGCTCTAGGAACGGCTGGTTGCCATCCTTAAAGGTCATCTTTAATCGAACTTTTTACTTGATTTCATTGGCCTCTGGATTTGACAATATTGGAAAGATATTTTTTAAGGAAATTTTGATACAGTTTTTGAAATAAAGTTTCATTTTTGTTGAGCCTTTAAAACAAGAACTGAAATGCAGGGAAAGAGAATGTCTTAAATTGCATAGTGCTTTTTGTATTTTGTAAATGTTAAGTACAGAAATATAATTGCAAAGTTTAACTAGAAAAAATATCACACTATCCATCAATACATCTCTTCAATGAAAAAATAGACCTTGGAAGTACCCTAATTTTAATTTATTTGGTGTTTTATGTACTGTTATTTTTAGAAATTGTAAGATTCTAAGATGTCAGCATGATTCTGACAGCCCACTCCATAAAAACCCTTCATTATTATCTTTTGGGTTGTCTACATCAGTAATTTTCAATATGGGTCACACCCCACCTCCAGGGGTCCATAACAAAAAGGCCATAGTCTTTATATGATACAGTTTAGGAGAACAGAACAGAACAGAACAGAACAGAACAGAACAGAACAGAACAGAACAGAACAGAATAGAATAGAATAGAATACAGAGTTGGAAGGGACCTTGGAGGTCTTCTAGTTCCTACTCAGGCAGGAAACCCCAGACAAATTTATTTATTTATTATATTTATTTATTTATTTATTATTATTTATTTATTATAAATGGTGTCCAACATCTTCTTAAAAATTTCCAGTGCTGGAGAATTCACAACTTCTGGAGGCAAGATGTTCCACTGGTTAATTCCAGTGGAAATCAGGAAATTTCTGCTTAGTTCTAGGTTGCTTCTGTCCCTGATTAGTTTCCATCCATTACTTCTTGCCCTGCCCTCAGGTGCTTTGGAGAATAGCTTGATTCCCTCTGTTTTGTGGCAACTCCTGAGATATTGAAACACTGCTATCATGTCATTCCTAGTCAGTGGTGGGTTGCACCTGGTTCGGACTGGTTCGCAAGAACCAGTAGTAAAACTGGTGGGAGGCTCCGCCCACTGACCCAAACGTCATCAAAGTAGATCTGCGCACGTGCGGGCATGATGCAAAGCAGTAGTAAAGATAAGTAGAACCCACCCCTGCTCCTAGTCCTTCTTTTCATTAAACTAGACATACCCAATTCCATGCCCAACCGTTCTTTATATGTTTTAGCCTTCAGTCCCCTAATCATTCCCTAATCTAGTTCCCTAATCATAGGATAGGATAGGATAGGATAGGATAGGATAGGATAGGATAGGATAGAATAGAAAGAATAGAATAGAATAGAATAGAATAGAATAGAATAGAATAGAATAGAATAGAATAGAATTCTTTATTGGCCAAGTGTGATTGGACACACAAGGAATTTGTCTTGCTGTATACGCTCTCAGTGTACATAAAAGAAAAAATGCATTCGTCCCCTAATAATAAATGATACAGATTGTAAAACTTTTTTCAGGTTGAGGAGAGCACAATGAGCAAAAAAAAAAAAAAAAAACCAGTTGAGAAACCCTTGTCTATATGATTAAAAACAGTTTGATGATGTACTGAAACTGATCTCATTAAAGTTCATCTGTAGATTTTCCATATTCATGGCTTTAGATTATCATAACTATTTCTACTAAATTGGATTAATAAATTATATTTCACACAAGACACTTTTTCTGAAATGGCAAACTTCATATAAGGAGAACATTAATCTACTTTTAGTA